TTCCTCCTTTTCTACCTGAGCCTGCAGGTGAATTTGGAGTTTTCTGTTTGGGGTCATGGACTTGTTAACAAATGGTCAGTTGACCTAGAATTGTCTAGCTCATTCTGTTTCACTCCAGACCTCATCTGGACCCTTTGCCCAGCGCCTTCCTCGGGGCATTCCAGGAGACACAGAGTGGCAGTGTTGCAGTCTCTCATAAGTCACTGTAGTTTTCATGGTTTTTCAAAAGAGAACAGAAATAGGGGAGGAAGAATCCTCCTCGCAGGTGGTTCTGTATTCTGGGCCCAGTCTGGAGAGTGTGCAGAGCAGGGGGAAGTGAAAGGTAAGGCCTGGGGGAGGGCAGTACCAAGGCTCTGTCCCCTGGGGAGGCTGTGGTGACCCGTCCCTAGCTGTCTTCAGGTGCCTCTGGTCCCTGGCGCTCAAGGGCCTCCCCTGGAGGCTTCGGTCACCAGGAAGGAGGTTCATTCATGAAAATCAGTCCCCCCAGGCCCTGATCCCACTTGCTTTTCTGAACCTCTCTGTTGCTTTGGCCCAGAGAATGCCATTTAGTGTATAAAAAAAGATTCCCAGGAGGCTGCCTCTCTCCACCAGTGTAATTATGTCTGTGAAGCTTCCTTTCTGGAAGGCCGGGGGCAGGGTGCTTAGCCTCCCCTGGGCTCCGCAGGCTCATTTAGCTTGGGCAGATCACCCCGGCCCTGCCACTGGGGGCTCACAGCCTGTGCAGGCACAGCCCTGCTCCCTGTCCCTGCTGAGTCTCTGTGCTTCCAGCTCCCAGCCCTTCTCCGGTTCACGTGTCCTTTTAGCCCAACTCACAACTTCTCTCTCCAGCTTCCCAGGAATGCTCCTTTCTTGGGAAAATCATTTCCTCCCAAAGAAAGGGCATTGCCTGCAAGATCCTGTCCTCTTCCATCCTCACGCTGACCTTGTGAGGCAATGAGCTCTCAAGTCATATGTCAGGGTGTACGTCATTCTTCTTAGCTGATCTTTTCCACCACCTTTGAGAGAGGGGTTATTGCTTTGCCCATTTTACAGTTGGGAAGATAAAGGCTCAGCGAGGTTGAGAGCGCCCCATGCTTCTAAGCTAGTAGGCGCTAGGTCTGGGAATCTGATCCCGGCACACTCCTAACCCCTGGGTGAGCGCTTGTCAGCTGCCGCAGAGTATTACCATGTTTTCCTTTGCTCTTCTGTGTCCATCATTAGACTGCGAGATTTCTCCTGAAAACAAACCTTATCTGGCTCTGAAGTGGCCACCCGCCAGTGCCTGAGCCTTGGTTGCTTAGCCTGCGCCAGCTGAGGGATTGAGGTGGAGTATGAAGCATCTGCCAGGTGTTAGGTGTCCCTCCTGGGCATGGAGAACACGGCCGGGGGGTCAGTGACCTGCTGGGCAGTGGGAGAGGGCTGAGCTGACTGATCCGAAGCCCTCTGAGGGATAAAGTGGAACCTCCAGGTGATAGGCTAGGTCAGTTGAGAGCCTCAGGTACCACTGTGTGTTGTGACTGCTAGAGGTCAGGAGTCAGCGCTATCTCCACCCACTCAGGAGTGCAGGCGTATGCAGCTCAAGTTTTCTCTCCTACTTCTCTCTGGACTCGCCACTATTTGGCCTCCACCCGAGAGAGACAGGGGAAGTGAAAAGACAAATGACATCAGCCACTCTCCCTCCTTGTCAGCAGAGGTTTATGGGGAAAGTAATGTGGGGAACTTCCTCATCTTTTCATTCTCACACTGTTCTTAATAGAAGACAAGTGATGCCTCCAGGACAGTCCACTGTGCACCCCTAGTGTTTTGAGCATACAGCGAGCTATTATCACCACCACGTAGAACCTTAGATGGTCAGTGGTGTTCTCAGCCCCATTTTACAGGTGAAAATATTGAGCCACATGTCAAGTAACTTGCCCAATCTCCATAGCCAGTAAGTGGTGGAGCCAAATTTTAACCTCCGGCTGTCTAGCTGCAGTGTCTGTGTTCTGCTTCTTGATGGAAACAGCTAGAAAATGAAGAAGACCTTTTTTGCCCCCATGGGAAGGAATTTTTAACTCTGAATAATACTTGCACGTTCATTAAGAGCAGCTACTGGCCAGGTGACATGCTTAGGTCTTTGCAGATTTTACCCCTACAAACCTCACGACAGCCTGTAAAGTATGTGTTCATATCAGCTTCCACTTTACAGAAGCAGAAACTGAGGCTGGGAGGGTGGACATGACAATCTTGGGTCATGTGGCTCTGCAGGGACACTCCCCGGATTCAGGTCCAGGCAACTCAGGTCCAGACTCTGCCTGACTTCAGAGTCTGACCTCCGATCTCTGTGTCAGGCTGGCTGAGCAGCACCCTAGGCTTCCTAGGCAGGGTAAGAAACAGAATACTCTCAGTGTTCGTTGAATATTCCTTTTATGGGATCAGGGAGACACTGATTTTCTGTAAAAATTCTATCCTGAAATTGAGTTACTTACTTTCTTCTTCCACAGGCCAAGTCANTCCAGTATTCTTGCCTGGAGAATTCCATGGGCAGAGGAGCCTGGCTGGCTACAGTCCATGGGGTCGCAAAGAGTCGGACACGACTGAGTGACTAACACTGACTGACTAATAGTTCGTTTATAATGTTGTGATGGTTTCAGGTGTGCAGCACAGTAATTCAGTTACACATATACTCCTCCTTTTTCAGATTCTTTCCCCATATAGATTATTACAGAATATTGAATAGAGTTCCTTGTGCAGTGCAGTAGGTCCTTGTTGGTTATGTTTTATTTATAGTAGTGTGAATGTTAATCCCATGCCCCTAATTTATCCCTCTCTTCCACATTTACCCTTTGATAACCATAAGTTTGTTTTTGAAGTCTGTGAGTCTTTGTTTTGTAAATAAGTTCTTTGATATCATTTTAATTAGATTCCATGATTTGCTAATATTTTTAGAATATCTACTTTTGTAAACAGAGATGAGGCTAGCCTGTGTATACAATAATCTTTGTCTGATTTTGGTAACAGGATTATAACAGCCTCATAAAATAAATTGAGGCTGTTTCCCCCTTCTTTTCTATTCTTTTGCATTCTCTGGAATAGTTTATGTACAACAGGAATTATCTATCATTAAAGTCTGAAAAACCTAATGGTTTTCATTTTTTGAGAGGGAAAGAATACGTTTTTAGCTACTAATTTAATTTTTATGATGATTATGGGTCTATTTATGTTCTATTTTTCCCAGTTCCTCCTTAAATCACTTCACTGTGATTTCCAGTTCTCTCAGTGTACTGGAATTCCTCTTATCTAGCTAGGTGCCTAAAAATCAAATGTTGCCAAACCTAGCGGTCACTTTTTCATCCTCAGCCTCGTCTGTATTTAGTGACATTTGGCCTTGCTGGCCATTCTTGCCTTCGTGATGCATCATCTTCCTTTATTGGCTTCCACAGCACTATCTTCCCCCAGTTTTCCTCCTCTCAGCTGCTCTTTTCTGCCTGTTTTTCCTATTCATCCTCCTTTTTTTAAGCAGCAAGTATGGAGAGCTGCACAGTTCTGATGGTCTCCTCTCTTTTTCTCTCTGCTTTCTTCTCACATGATCTCATGCCCCGCTCTTGAAAGCTATCTCCACGCTGTGACTCCTCACCTAGTTTTCAGTGTCAGCCTCCCCTGTGAGCTCTGTAGTCAGAGACCTGCTTGATACCTCCCCGTGGAGTATCACAGGTACCTCAGCCTCGGCATTTAAAACTGTCCTTCCACGAGCCTTCTTCAGCTCAACAAATGACGCGCTGCCTGCCCCGTTGCTCAGACCAGAGGAGCATTCTTCCTTCTTGTCTTCACTCCTCCCTGATCCAGTCTGAGGAGGATCGGCAAAAGTGCTGTTCTCTCTACCCAAGTGTTCTTCCCACCATCTCTGCTGCTACCACCCCAGCCCAAGCCACCACCTGCTCTTACCCTGGCACTGCACTGGTCCAGTCTGTCTCCCTGGTGTCATTCATGTCCCATCTGTGTTCATTCTTCACAGTAGCCAGCATGATCTTTTAAATTTCAGTTGTATCTTAATCACTCCCTAGCTCCAGTGGCTAGAGTAAAATCCAAGCTTTTTCCTGCCCCCGCCCTTCCCCCTGCCGTCACCTGTGGTCCTTACACCGGCTCCTCACGTCACACACTGTCGAGTATGTGCTCTCCCTCTTCTCTCTCTCCTACCTCCGTCCATACCCACACCCTCATACATAGCGGGAACAGCTTTAGAAAAGGCACAGCAGCTTTACTGGCAAAGAATAGACCACTTGGCTAGTGTGCAAATTCATTTAAGAAATAGGATCTAGGTTTTGTGGCACGTTGAGTTGTACAATTAGGGAGCCCTTTCGGGAAAACAACACAAAACAGAAAATACAAAATTATGGGGGAAAAATAAATATTTTAAGTGAGAAACAAAATCACAACCAGTTACTGGAACTTTAGAAATTAGATCCCTTTCTTCTGCAGTCTCTTTAGACAGTTTACCCAAAATGCTCACATAGACATGTTTCCTCACTGCAACCTGACTGTCTTTTCCCTCCTAAAACATGACCATTTCCAGCAACTCTCCATTTCTGAGGTTCAGATAAATTAAATGACTTTCCAAGCATGGCTGCTCCATGAGCCTGTGGCAGTAAGACTGGAGTCTAGGTCTCCTGGCACTGACATGGTAAACCCATTAAGCCCCCAGTTCACACATCAGTATAGTGCCCCTTTATGCCAGCTACGCCAAGCACATTAACACTGAATGAATAGTAGACACCACATTATGGTGCTGTAATGAGAAACGGACTGCTGAGACAGATGCCAAGCAGTGCAAAATGTCTGCCACATTACGAACCCAGGAAAGACCCTGTGGAAAGGCAGCCTGGAGGTTCCAAACCTAAACAAAGCTGGAACAAACACTTCAGCCTCAGGGGAAACCTGAGAATTTCCGAGAGCAGCCACGAACTGAGGAATTACCTCCCCAGCCTGTGCTCCTTAGGGCAAAGGGTAAAAAAACTCACGCTCCTAAGGGAGCCTCTTACATCTTTTGTAAAAGAAAACACTTCCATCCTCTGTGTGGTGGTTACCATTCACAGACTGGTCCCTGTGGAAGTAGATTGCTGTGTGTTCTTTTGGTGTCGAGAATTTCAAACTGGCTGACGATCAGTACAGTCACTGAATTCCTCCTTATGCTAAGCTTCAGAGTTGTGTGACAGCTTGTTTTGTTTCTTTAAAAAAAGACAGTGTGATTAAAATTACTTTAATGAAATTATTTTTTCTTTCACATGACAGAATTCTTATCTAACATCAAAGCATCTTACCTGACTAATCATAAAACTATCCCTTTTCCTCATGAACACAGTTACCTGGGGTGAGTTCCCAGCTTTATGCTGATCCTTTCCAAAAGAAGTCTCCATTTTCTCATCCTCAAATCACTAACCTTGTTGTGACTGCCAAGCAACACAAATTGGAAAAGCAGAATTTCAGCTCAGAGGTTGTACTCTTGAATGGTTTGGTTAAAAGCCACCACCATGCCACTTAAACATCCCATTTTTCCTCTCTTTTACTACTAACTAGAAGGTGGTCCAGGATTCCATTCGACATGCTCATGCACAGCCGATGCTGAATTGTGGTCAGGGAAGCCCGACCGCTTCCCTGACATGCGAACCACTGTTTGACGGCTGCCACTGAGACGATATGTTTAGCACTGAGAGGAAGAGATTCTGTGCTGTGCTGCTGTGAACAGACTGTGTGAGGGGGCTCCTGCATCCAGGTCCCGGGGACAGTCCTCACTTACATCTCTCCACTGTCTCTCACCCCAGCTCAACTGACCCCTAGACAGGCCTCCCTCAATTCTGACCTCAGTTCTTTTCTCAGATAAGTTCCCACCACCTAGAATTGCCTGCTTTACCTCTGCTGTCTCCAAACGTTGATTTCACTTCAAGATCTAGCTCACATCCTACCTCATTCATTCACTTACTTAGCAGGTAGAGATAGCAGGTCCTCCCCTGGTACCTTAGGTTCACTCTCCACCAAGTCTTACCCACCAGCTTCTGCGCAGCGATGAGCAGGCACTGAAATTGTAACAAGATGTGATAGACAACAGAAAGTATGAAGTACTGAAGGAAGGTGGAGAAGTTATCTGGAATGTTCTTAAGGATGTCATTTACTTCCCAGTGTAAAGTGTGGGGTGTAGGTGAGGACTGGATAAGCCTTCACTAAGGAGATGGCATTTAGTGGACCTGGGACATGAGGAGGACTGGGGCATGTGAAGAGTGCAGGGCAGGCCAGAGTGGGAAACAGTTGCCCAGTTCTAAGGAGCATATGAAGACTATGGGTTTGAATAGTAGCTCTATCACTCACTATCTCTGTGACTTCAGGCAAGTTTAAACTCTGCTTAAAAGTATCTGTAAAATGGAGATTATAGTGCCTTCCTGATAAAGTTGATATAAAGATTAAATACATAAATACTTAGCATACTTCCTGGCACATAATAGTAACAAATGGTAAGTATTATTATGACTATATCATGGGTAAATGAAATCATAGTTGTCTCTTAAAAATTAAATCCATCCTTTATTATAGGTATTTTATTTTTCCTTTAAAATCTACAGTCATAAAAAAATATCTACAGTCATCTCCTTACAAATAGGTATAGAACATCGTTCTTGATCACATTTTTTAATAACGGCTCATGCTGCTTTGTACATTAGTGATACAAAATATTCACCATCTCCCTTCTACTTTTCCCCAAGTACTTAATACAACCTTTCTCTGAAGCCTTAGAGGAAAGTACCCCACAATTGTAGCTGCCTGCTTACTTTTTTGGTTACTTATTTTCTTAGGTTAACTCTCAGCTATAATTAAAAGTTATATAAAATGAAAGTTTCTTTTTTGCAGAATTTACCATGCTTTTATTTAAGCTTATAACAACCCTGTGAAGGAGGTAGGGCAAGGATGATGATCATTATCTTACATATCAGAATACTTAAGAAATTATATTTTTTAAGTATTCTGATTCTTCACAAGTATCAAGTGACTTGCCAAGATCACATGATAATAAGTGATGGAACTGGGGCCAGCAAGGCCTTATCTGACTCCTAGTTGCATGTTCTTTTTGTCATGCCAGGCTGCCTCTTATTAGTTAGTGGTCATTCTTTTCCTTCTCTGCCCTTCCCCAGCCCTCCTCTCAGAGTCTCTCTCTGCCACTGAATTTCTAACACCTATTATTACCTTCCCCAGGGAAGCCCATCAAAGTCAAACCCAGAGTACAAAAAAAAAAACACTGCAAAATCAGACAGGAAGACATTCTTTGTTGCGTATTTTTCCCCACTTACCTCAGAGAGATAGAAACTCATAAGAATCATAAAGCTTTGTTAGAATTTAGAACTTTAAGATGAAAAGAAACAAAAATGATGATACGTTTCAACTTCATTGGTTAAGAAACAAGAAAGCCAAGGGAAACACATGAGTTGGCTTAAAACATGTTTGTTCACAGTGTTTGCCTTCCTGAAATTTCATTTTCTTTCTTTCAGAAAAAGACATGATAAAAGTAGGATTTCAGAACCATCCGTTCTGCTTTACACATGAAATGTGTTATTCTAAGTTCAATTTTTACTGACTGTAAAGCTTCACAATACAGTGGAAGGAGCACTGGATTTGGGAATCAGAAAATGTAGGCTCCAACTTCAGTTCTGTCATTTAATTTTTGTAAATTTTTTGAGTATCAATTTTTTCAGTGGAGTTAATGGCAGCAGCCCTATTTCCCAAGCATCATTATATGGAACAAATGAGATAATGTCTGTCCAAGTGGTTTATAAACTAAAAAGGACCATACAAAATATTATAAGTATTATTCATACATGTAACAATTCATTAAGGGTCTCCTCTACATACAGCACTATTCAGAAGACTAAAGAAAATTCAAAAGTGTGAGATTTGCACTGCTTTTGCTTAGTTGACAGTTGTTTAGTTTATAACCTGAATGAGTAGATAAGACAAATTAAATATTTTGAAGAACAAGACTTACAAAAATATTCTCATGCATTGTTCAGTCTCGTCGTCACGTGGGACTCACAGCCTGAGCCCCGGCTTCAGTGGACAGTGTTCTGCAGTGATGGTGCTTAGCCATGAACTGACTTACTTGATGTTTTAGGACCAGGCATGCCATTTTTATTGAGGCTGCCTCAATTTCTGCGACCTTAGTGATGCTGGAATACTGAGGAGATGTATCCTTGGCTACTCTGCAGCTTTCTGGACTACTTCTGATTCCTTACAGCATTTAATGATGTGACTTTGGGAGAAGCAACTAGTGGCTTTACGTAAGGTCATATCACTTCATTGGTAAAATCTCTAGATAGTGTTTCTGCTGACCTGTTTCTGATCTAGTTCTCCGTTCTTTTCTGTAAATAGAATCAAGTTCAACAGTTTTTTAAATGAACAAATGATTAAAAAAGTAAGAAGTTTGACACATTTTAAGAAAATGGACTTTTTCAGTCAATTGAAAATTTTGGAACCCATCTTTCTTTAAAACCAGAGGGTAGTGATATAATAGTTCAGCTTTTAAGCCAAACCATCCACCTGTGAAAATGACACCCTATCCTGTATTAACATATTTTTAAGTATTATTTTTTAAAAGCAGATCTATCGTCTCTCCTTCCCTCCATCATTTGCTCATGCTGAATTCAGAACTAGTCTCTGGCAGGTGACCCAAGGAACTTAAAAACCATGTCATCTAGCTGACTCTGGTTTTTAAATTTAGATCAAATGACATTGTCTTTGAAGTCTCAAGAGTACTACTTAAGGTAGCCATATCAGAGGGGCGTGCCTTTCAAAGTACTCCTTACTGGCTGGCATCCTTAATATGAAAAGTGAAGGCTGGTCAAAAATAAATGAAAAGGAAAGTTTTATTGGAGTTATTTACTCTTACGACAGCTATTTCAGACAGAACCTTGACAAGTTATCTCATTGCCTCTAGACAGGAATACACAAGGCATATGGGTATCTGTAGTATTTTAAAAGACCTTGGGGGACCAGGCTTCTTCTGTAACTCATTCCAGAATTTAAACACCCTCACTTCAGGAAATTCTTCCCTATATTTAACTTACAGGCCCCCTTCTGCGGTTAACACCCATTTCCGCTTTTCTCTGTCTCCAGTCAGGATGGAGAACAGCTGGCCAACATCCTTTGTGTGCTAACCCTCCATCAGCGAGAAAGTCATTTGGGTGTCCCCGGGCTGCTTTTCTCACCCTCTAGCAGCCAAGTCTTTGAACCAAATTGAGGTTTTTTTCCCCTGTTTTTATTTGTGCCTTGTTTCTCTCTCATCATTCTTTTTATCAATGAATAAAATTTGGAAAATGTAAAAATACACAGATGAGGGGAAAACAATAGCCCTACAATCCAGGGAGGGAAACCACTGTTAAGTTAGTTTTCTACGTGTTACTTATACAGTCGAGATCATATCATCTATATCAGCACTGAAATATAGTCTGAGCTGCATATGTAGAAACTTAAACATTTTCTGGCAGCCACATTGAGAAAAGGTAAAGGAATAGGCAAACTAATGTTAATAGTAGTTTTCCTGTAATTCTGAAATACCAACTTATTGGTGTGTAATCAGTGTCTTTAATTATTAATATTTTACACTCCATTTTTATTCTAAACCCTCTAAATCCACTGTGTGTTGTGCTTTGACAGCACATCTCAAGCCCAGCTAGCCGCTGTGCAGGTACTCAGGAACGTGTAGCTGCAGTGTGGAAGCACAGTCCTTGCAGTTGCATGTACTGCTTTTTTGTCTGTCATATCTTAAGCCTATTACCAATGCCATTACCAGATTTTTACATCATTTTAATGGCTGCATAATATTTCATCAATCAGACTTACTGTAAGTGCATCTTTAGAAAGTTTTGTTCTTCATAAGTAGCCATGGAGTATTCTCTTTTTACTTTTTTTTTTTTCTTTCACATTAACTGAATGTTTCTCAACACATTGCCCAAAACAGCATCAACAAATTATTTCTTTTGGGTACAGTTAATCAAGTCCACTTATTCATAAAACAAATATATTCACTTAGTATCTATTAAGTGCTCTGTACTCCCTTAGATTGGGAAGTGGAGGAGTGGGTTTCAAAAAATAGAAGGCAGGTCCCTTCCATACACTGTGTACAAGACTTGGCTCCACAGTTGGACTGCACACATGCTGTATTTTATTCTGACTTAAATATTCTTCCCTTCATTTCTTACTCCCTCTGCACCTTAATATACACACACAGCCTGACTGACTGACTCTACCTTATCTTTCAAAGGCCAATCAAAGATAGTCACCTCTGCTGAGTCCTCTAGGTGACTACTGGCTCCCTCCTCCATCATACAAAAGCATACTGTGTTCAGAGCACTGTGGTGTTCCGGCGATTGGCTAACTCTCTGTCTTCTCGACTAGAGTGGAAACTCTAATGATAGAAACCTTATTTTATGAGCCTCTTTATTCCCAGTGCCTAGCAGATCATGAGGGAGTGAATGTAGATTTCAGTACTGTCCACTGAAATATGTGTTGAAATACAAGTGATCGTGTTAAGCATCAGTTGGATGGTATAATTACAAGTATTGATCAGGAAGTTCAGAGAGATCATTTTAAATTGGCATATGGTTGAAGAAGGCTTTAACGAATGAGGCAGGATTTGAACTGGGCTTTGGGAAGATGGTTATGCCTACATGAATGGAGGGGAGATGCCCTATTGCAGGAAGTCTTGTTTTTCAGGAGGAATCCTTTAGCATGTATCAGCAGATAAATATCTTTCTAGATCTAAAACACTGTACTCAGTTTCAAGAAGGCTGACAGGGCTTTGCAGAATTAGAAAGTACCTCTGACTGCTTCATGTGATCTTTGAGTTTAAGCTGTGTTTCAACTCTGGAGATGTTAAAGGTCATTTTATATGATGCTTGTTCAGTAATCCTTCTGCTAAGGATAACTGTATATATAAGAAGTAACATCATTATAGAAATATCAAATGACTGTTATTGCAAACCAGGTACCCTCCCAAAGCATTTTGAATGTATTATTTAGTTAACTCATTTAATCCTCACAACAATTGAGTGAACTAGGGCCCATTTATCGTCTCTCATGTTACAGATGAAACTGAAGCACAGAGAGTTTTAAATAATTTAAATGTAACACAGCCATCAAGTGGGGGAGCTAAGATTTGATCCCAGAAGAACAGTTTTAGGGTCTCTCCTTTAACCATTACTCTGTACAGCCTCTCTTCTACCTGTGTTAAGAATAAAATGTTTTATACAGAGATCATTTAGCATCTGTGGTTCCAGAACAGGAATCCTATCATTATAACCTTTCTCTAGTTCTCTTCATTCCTTTCTGACTGCTCCTTATCTCACTTGTAGGCTCCTATTTTTCTGCCTCATCATGTAAAACAGGAGCACCTCTTGGCTCAGTCCTTGTCCCTCTTTTCTCTGATTTTATTCACCACCCCTGCCCAGTGATCTTATCTACAACTATGTTTTTTACTTATCTCCCACACTGAATTGAAGCACAAGTGTAACCAAGTGTAACTCTTTAGCCCAGATCTCTTTTCTGATATTAGACCTCTATTCAGATTGCCTCCTGGACATTTTCATAGCACATTGTCTGTCCCATGTTGTGGGGTTTTGTTTTTTTTTTTTTCCTGTCTTCCACCAGAGCCATCATAAGCCCCATGGTCTCCCAGGGCTGTGCTTTCAGCAAATCGAATCTCCATCCAGTCTTTCACACTGGCCAAGAAGCTGTTTGATTCTCCCTTTCCTCTTTAACTCCAACCTTTGCAACCTCTTCTGATTTCCCCTAATGTGTCTGTGTCTCTGAATCTGCACATTTCCACTCTGGCCCAAGCCTTCATCATCTCTTACCTGTACTACTGCATGGCCTGTGGTCGGTCCTCCAGCATCCACTCCAGACCCCCTCCCATCTGTCCTCCAGCTTCAGTCAGAGTGTACCTGTCAAAATACAGATCAATCGATCAGTGTCTCTCTTTTTCTCTCCCTACCCACTAGACAGACAGGACAGACATATACACTCCTAGCCTAAAACACTTTATGACTTAAAGAGAAAATTCTAAACATGGCCTCTGCATAGTCTGCTCTAGACCACATTTTTCTCTTCAGCTTTATCGTCTACCAGGCTGCTGTTCACTTGATGACTTTTTGGGTCCTCAAACATTGTTCTCTTTCTTGATGTAGGGTCTTGACATATCCTATTCCTTTTGCCTGGATGCTCTCACCTACCCATCCAGAAAGTGTGACCCTTCACCTGGTGAGGAAGTCTAGTCCTTC